CTTGGTATTGTACTGGGTATATTAAAAATAAAGGAGAAGCAAAAAACAATTCTGAACCTCGACCATTTTTATCTATAGAAAAAAATCCAGAATGTGTAAGAGAATTGCTTATCTGGATTCAAAATGCAATAGCGATTGGAAAGTTGTATGATCCTGTCTATAGTATTAATGAAAAATGTAATACAGATATATTTAGTAAATTTTTAAAGCCATATGACATTACAGCTAAAAGGTTAAAAAAAATCAGAGGTAAACATGCTTCTAGAGTTCATAGTGGTCAAAATTTATTCTCACAACATTTCACTTTCCTCAGCAGGATTGCAATGAGGCATAAGATAGATCATCATGATTCTGGAATGTATTATGCTGAAGGTGATACTTCTAATTCTGATCTTGACTCAGATCTAGAGCCTAAACTCGAAATTCAAGCTTTTATAACTAAACCAATTGATAAAAATACTTCTACATCTGAAATTGAGGATATCTATAGGAATATATAAATTAATAATATAATTAGTTATTAATAGTCAGATGCAATATAATTACTAATTACGCTTCTTTGCTTTCATCATATCCACAGTAAAATCTTTATCATCGTTGTTGGAGGTAGTCACTTCATAGCTAAATGATTCAGAGTCGGACCCAGATCCAGATTTAAATGAAGATGAGAACACAGATGTGGTATTATTAAAAATTAGTTTTTTTCTAGCTTTGCATTTTCTTTTAGCCTTGCATAGTGTATGATTTCTTTGAGGGATATCCAAGTTTGCTATTGAGTTTATAAGTTCTTGATGAATCTTGGGTTTTACTATCTCTAGTAATTGGTGAAGAGTGATTCAGATTTTTTTACCTGATACTTGCTTAACAATATCAGATACTGCTTTATCGGTAATATTGAATAAACTTTTATCTTTTACAAAAAATCCAATTTTTTTGCAATCTTATAAGTGATAATTGGACATTTTGAGTTTGAATCAACTATTTCTTTCACAACTTCATCATTGATGTCAATCAAACATTGTTTAAAGTTTTTTATGGATTCTTCTACCAGGTTGTTATCAATATTGTTATTAGCTTCAGTCATTGTAAATGTGAAATTATTATTTATTAATATGAATTTAAAAACCCAGAATTAAATATATTGTTATAATAAAATATCACTATGAAAATTTTATCTTGTGAAATTAATAAAGCACTAGTAACCGTTATATTGGATTCTGATACTAATTGTAATATTATAAGCGAGAGTATAGCAAAAATTGTAGACTTAAAAATTAATAATACCTCTGATACGGAAATATACTGTCCTATTAGTGAGTTCAATATATTGGAAATAATTTGTGCAATAGAGATTTCAATTTAATCTCAAGATCGTAAATGGGAGCAAGTAAAAGTTACTGATGTTTTCATTACCAATGAATCAGAACTTGAATCTGTACTAATATTAGATTGGCTATAGTTCCAGAAAAATACAATAAAACTGGACTTCCCAAATAAAACTCTCACATTATTTAATGGAACTAATTGTGAGGTTAAGTTAATTAAGAATATTCAGGAAATGCATAGCATATATGCCTAAAATTTTGTACCATACTGCATTGTACATTATTGCATATTTTATAATACAATAAATATTAATTATTTATCGCAATAGTAAATTTCCATATTTTACAAATTCATACATATGATATATTATATTTTTTAGCTAGATCCCATAATGCATTTGCTGAATCCTTAGTAATAAATATATCACTAATTGCTTCGAGTGATAAGTATGTAGCATTTGATTTTAATCTTCTAATCATTTATATACACAAAAATTAAAACCATATTAAATATATCTAAAATAAGTAGTAAATATATAATGAGTTATAGCAGAGTGTGAGATAGGTTAAGTGAATATGGTGAAAATTATATTGTTAACAAAATTAAACTGTCAGAAGCATGGTTATGGTTTGCAAAATATTATCCACCGAAATACATACACAAACATTTATTAAAACTAGAATATGAAATAAATAGTAAAGATTATTGAGAAAATTTTATATTTCATATCAAAAATAATTTGACCAGCTATAAGCAAATAGGCAATGACCCTAATTATAGGAATTTTAAAGTTCAACTAGCATTATATAAAAAAAATTGTGCGTCATTAATTATCTAGTGAACATGTTGTTTATGGAGAAGACAAATTAATTCTGCTAAAATAATCCAACATGCAGTAATTAAATGACTATATCGACCAGGTGGCATATTAATGAAACAAGCCAAAGATTGATATAATCAAAATGTGAAAAGGCTCCATCATTAGCTAGAACAGATTTAATTTCTGCAATCAGGCCCTTTAGGGGGGACCCTTTGGGTCATAACTGGGTAATTATTTTTGAAGATAAACCAAATCAAAGGTATATATCTATTACCCTAAAATTATAACCCTAAATTTCAGATCAAGTGATATTGATAGCCATGTGAT